TTCTTTAAATATGTATCTTTAATACTATAAAAAGTTTGAATAAGAATTCCATTTTTTATATAGAAAAAAAAATTGTTGAAAATATGCTATTTTTTCTCAGGTGTAAACCCATGTGTAAACCCTTAATAATTGTATTATTTTGGGACGTGATAAACAATTCATTCATTTCTCATAARATTTCTATCGTTTAGGATTATATGATTAAAAAAAGAAATTCATTCGTAAATAAACCGATTGTTTAAACTGATGAATAATATTAATAATTATTATTATTTGTTAAGCGTGTAAAATATATTACCAGGAAATAAACGTTCGGGTATCTTCGTCAAATATATTACAAAGGCTAAACCACTAATGGCATACATCCCAAGGACCCTTGGTAGTAGCAATCTAACGATCGGATTGTCCATACCACCCATTGCTATACTCCAATGCAGTGTTGGCAAAACTCCATAAACTGCCCAAGCTACAAAGACAATCAACTTCACGTTCCCGTTTACATTCAACTTCGGTATCTGCAGTACCATAGCGAACAGAAATATCACTAGGACTGTCACCAAATAAAATTGTTGTAAATCCTAGAAAAAAAATATAACAATATATTTCATATATAAATTATATACACGTGTATTTATGTTTCAAATATATTTCAATGTTAATTAAATGTAAGTTATAATATATTATTGTTATGTTCATGTGCAAATAATGTTATGTAACAAAATTAATATATTTATATTATTTATTGATTGAGATTATAAACAAATATCGTTTAATAATATAATTTAGAAAAATTATAGTATTATATTTAATTTTAATTTAATTTTCTTTTTTATTTTTAATGTATCTCTCACGTATTAACAAATTTTTTTTCTCAAATATTTTATTTGTATTTGATAACAAATTTAATTATTCTATTATTATTATTATTATTATTATTATTATTACAAAAAAAGAAATAAGAAGAACCGAACGATTTAAATATATTTGAATTGCAAATTTTGTTACAAGTTGTCACAGATTGAGGATAGAAAGAAATAAGAAGAAATAGAAGAAGAAAATAATCTGAAATATGTGAGATTGTCGTTCTACATACCTTATGACACCAAAAGGCATAGTAAACACCAGACATGTAAATCGATAGGAGACTTAAAGCTATACCGAAAAGATCAAAAGATAAAAAACACCAATAATCTTTTTCACTTCGACAGGAGAACGTATGATATACTGACGATAATATCATGCATACCTAAATATAAAAACAACAACAACAAAAATGTTCATTAAAAAATATTAAATACAATAATTAAAATTTAATTCATTAAAAATCCAATAGAATTGAATTAAATGAATGACCGTACAAATATTTACCTGAAAACAAATTAATAGTAATGCTACTATAATTTTATCTCCGAAAGGTGCATGAATATTTAACAAACAAAGATCGTAAAGGGTCAAACCGAAAAATAGCATCCATCCAAAAATGTGACTCCATATGTTGATTGTTTCATTCGTCCACCAAAATATACTAAAAAACAAAAATTCAACGAATCTATAAAATATATTATAAATAAAAAAAGAAAAAATATGTTTATTATCACACACACACACAAGTGTGAAAGAATATTATTTAAAAACTAAATCACACACACCACACAGATCGTATAAATTATTTGTTGATCTCGATTATTAATAATATTAAATTTTAAATAATTAAATGGAAAATATATTGAACATTTTAGAAAATTTTCAAATAAACGTTAAAAATTATATGAAATACAATGAATAATATTATAATCGTGACTCGTATATATATGATATATAATGTTACATTTAATTAATTATATAAATTGCTATTATAACCACGTGAAGAGATTTGATCGATCAATAATACATTAAAGGTTCGACCTTGTCGATCAATCGAATAAATTGACAGTTAATATAATCTTAAATGAAAATAAATATATGTGTAAATATTATTTATCCTTTTTTTTTTTCTTTTTATTAAAATTTATTCGATAGGAATATCGGGGTTCGGTTCAAAAAAACTTTGATCTATAAAATATGTGTCAAGGTTATTCGAGTACGTTCGAACAATTGACACACTTACACGTGGCATCATTTATGCATATATTGACATATAACATGTATAAATCTATATAAATAAATGTGTGTATATATTTTTTTATGTATAGTTACCTTTCCATACATAATTTTGTAGTTAAATATCCTCGATAACCATTAAGTATATAAGGATTGTGTCTAAGGTATTCTGGTGCATCTTTGAATGATAGCAATCGTCTCAATTTGGTTTCATTATTGTTCATTAATACTTCACTCTTGATCGATGAATCCTTTGGCACGTGATCGCACTGTATAAAAAATATTTATTTAATATTTTTCATATATATATATATATTTAATAATATTTTTACCTTTCTTGTTAATAAATGTATAATTATTTCTAAATAATGGCATGTATTATGGTATTCGAAAAAAATAGTTTAAATTAGAATTTCAATTTATTATTTATATAGATTTTTATGAGAAAAAAAAAATTTTGCTATTTATATTTTTCGATTTGTTTCAATGATTTTTAGTATATTAAATAATTTCTTTTATATGATCATCGTGTCTCCCTTCTTCTTTAATTCTTTCTAGTTAAGAATTGAGATTATTCCATCACGTAACACTCACATATGTGTATATGTATCTATCTATATATATATATGTATACATGGGTACTTGAGTATGTGTAAAATCATCGTTCGTTAGCCTTACAAGTTGTAACTGTTATGTAAGAAGTACTACTAGAAAAGTAGAAACAAAAAATGAAACCTTAGAAGATGTAATACATGATATAAATTGACCATAACAAGTATACAACATTTATAATACTTTCTTATGTGTAAATTAATGGTATTTTTTTTAATTAATAAAAAAAGAAAAACATATTCTATATGTTATTTTATTTTATTAGTATGATAAACAATATAATAAATTATATATATAATCTATATAATTTATGTTATATAATATTATATATATATATTTATGATTATGTCAATCTTAACACGTTTTCTGCCACGTGGGTTAACCCGTGACTCGCATTACTATAATATATTGTTTCATATCTAATCTTATATTATAGAATCGTATTGTCTAAGGTAAAACACGCCCAATTTGTACCTCCAATCAATGAAATTATATCAATATTATTTATTATATTGATATATAATGTATTATAATTAAATATAAAATATATTTGTATATTTAATTGGGAGATATAAAGATGTTCGAAAGGATACAGAGCAGATATTGCAAAATGGCATTAGGAGTAGAAAGGACAACACCAAAGTATATATGGAGAAGAGAGCTGGGAATACCAACCATGGAATGCATGATAAGGGAAAGAGCGCTGCGTTATATTAAGGAAGTGCTGGAAATGGAGGATTC